TGTGTGTGTGTGTGTGTGTGTGTGTGTGTGTGTGTGTGTGTGTGTGTGTGTGTGTCTAGTAACAAAATACATAATGAACCACTAAACAGATTTTAAATGGGACAAATGCTAAATCCACTTTTTAAGCTGTTAAATACATTTTATTGTGCACTTGAAGTGCAAAAAAGTTGAATTTAGTCTCCCCTGCAAAGATATCTTAATATTCTGTTAACCTGAACCCAATCGAGATGGTTTGGGGTGAGCTGGACCACAGAGTGAAGGCAAAAGAGCCAACAAGTTGAAGAAATTTATAGTTATTACAGGTTAGTACTGATGTTAGAAGCATGACAACATACAGTATTCTTAGGTGTTCCTTTTTATAATGTTGGCAATGTTTAATCTATTATGTTTTGATTGATAATAGATTAGTTACATGTCCGAAATATCTATAACAACACATATTTAACCTTTATGAGAACAGTAGGTGAGAATTTTGTATTAATGCCTGTGATTCAGCCGTAGGTCAGTAGGGGGCGAAGGCAGGCATTGAAGACCCAGTATAAATGGATCAACTTCCTGGTTTGTCAGCAGTGTGTGGTTTCCTGTCAGCTCCGCTTGGCAATAAACCCCACTCGGTTCCAGAATTCTGGTGTTTGTGTGGTTTTATTCCTTCTAAAAATCACATTATTTAACAGTGGTGGTTTTATATTGACTTCAGTCTTTGAACACGTATATTTTTTACAAAGAGCGAAGCATCTCTAACTCCTTCAAGGCTGTTGGGAGACCATTTCAGGTGACTACCTCTTGAAGCTCATCAAGAGAATGTCAAGAGTGTGTGAAGCAGTAATCAAAGCAAAAGGTGGCTACTTTGAAGAACCTAGAATATAAAACATATTTTCAGTTGTGTCACACTTTTTTGTTCAACATATACCATGTGTTAATTCATAGTTTGGATGGCTTCAGTGTGAATCTACAATTTTCAGTCATGAAACTAAAGAAAACTCCTTGAATGAGAAGTTGTGTCCAAACTTTTGGTCTGTACTGTTATATACACTGCTCAAAAAAATAAAGGGAACACTACTGCTCAAAAAAATAAAGGGAACACTACTGCTCAAAAAAATAAAGGGAACACTTAAATAACGCACGCTAAGTCCAAGTAAATCAAACTTTTGTGAAAAACATTCAACTCTGTACAGAACAATGTACTCAATGTGAATATTTCATTGATTAAGATCGGGAGTTAGCGTGCGTTGTTTAAGTGTTCCCTTTATTTTTTTGAGCAGTGTATATTTTTTGGGCTGGATATAAGATTTTAAAACTTGGTTAGATGTAGGGCTGCACGATATCAAGAAAACCTGCGATGTGCGATAACAGTGCTTAATGTTGCAATGACAATATGACTTGCAGAAAATCAGGAAATACTCCGGGTTCAGAGCAATTTTCATTCCAACATGATGGAGTCATCATGATTTGATGTTTCTTTGTTCCATTTTGTTTATCAGATTGATGCTGCCAAATCACATAAATGCAAACATTAGAGCCAATTATTTATTGCAATTCATGCATTTTTTACAATATGCATGCTGCACAGGCTGCTATGACGATAACGATAAATTTGTGATATATTGTGCAGCCCTAGTTAGATGCAGTTTTTGCAGTGTGATAATGAAAAACAAAATTAGAACTCCTTTTTTTCTAAGAGCTTGTCCAACATGTCAGGCTGGTTTCCACCTGCATGACTCAAACCGTCCCTCATTCTTTCTGAGCTTCAGGGACAAAAACAATAAAAATGGAGACAGTTGTGGATAAAAGAGCGAATCTGCTGAGAGGAGGAAAAACAAGGAGCCTTCTCCTGACTGGAGTTACATAATCAGCTCACCCAGAAACCTTCTGCAGTCGGTCTGAACTCATCCAGATGGGGAGAACCAAATCAGCAGGAAGGACAAGGATGCGTCAATGCTTGTTTTACAGCATTGTCACACCTGTATGTTCAACAAAAGAGGCAGTGAGGACAAAACATCTGAGGCATTCAGCAGGAAGACAGGAGAGCGGAGAGATGAAGTCAACTATCAACTAAATCAAAGGAAAAGGAGAAGAAGGACAAAGACTCATTTATTGGTCAAATAAAGCTGTGGAATACAGATAAGGCAGGGAGGAAACAAACAGTGAGATAAGGAAAAAGCTGCAGATAAAGGGATAAAATGAGCTCAGATTGATGGAGAATGTAAATGCTCTAAGCAGAAAATGAAAAATACATAATGTATTTTAAACTCTTAAGCCCCAAGGGGTTTTCTTGAAGTTCTTTCTCAAAAAACCATGCCGGAATGTAACTGAGCGTTTCTCAGCATTTAAAATCTCTACTTAAATAATCTTGGTATCAAAACAAAGCTAACACTTGGGAGATTTTATCAGAAGTGTAAGTATTAAAACAGCTGCTGTGGTTTTAGAGACATTGGGGATGGAACATAATTTGTTTTTCACGCTCAGCTGAACAATTTTTTCATTAGACAGTATGTATATAACCTATTTAAAACATAATGAATCAGGCTAAAAACTCTTGGAAACCATAAATCCACTTGTGGGCATTACCTGTGCAAAGATCCATGTTGCTAAAATTAACTGGAGCAAAGTTACAGAGGTTTCAGTAAAGAAATAATTTAGCATTTTATCATTCTGCACAGCACAGACCATGATGGTCCCATTATTAATTGTTTAGAAATCGTAAGTTTTTATGTCCAGAAGTTATTTATTTTTTCTTAACTGCCTTCAAAGACTCGTTATTGAATGTTTATTCTTTTGAAAATTATCCAAACATTTATTTGTCACCATATATATTATAAAAAATAATGAGAAATTATATTTGACCTTAGTTGGATCATATTCACTCGAAATCAAATGAAAAAAAAAAACACTTTCAACACACTTTACAACCTAGTATTTATGTATCTACTTTGACTTGTTTTAAAAAATATTGTCAATTTTTTTTCCTTTACAGATTTGTTGTAATGTATTTGCAGATTTTGTATTTACAGGTTTGCAATGACGCCGTTTTGTACAGGTTGTTTACTTTCTGATTCAACTGCTTGACGTTTGAACTGTGTTTGGTGAATGTAAAAATAGTTTCAATAAGCTTTTAGCCAAGATTCTTTGGTTTCTTTTGATACCAAACATGTCCAGGTTCAACTGACAGATCTGAAGTTAAAAGACGTTAAAAGAAATAGAAAAGGGAAAAAGAGGTTAAGCATGTTTGAATTTGCTTTAACTGTTTTATCAACTTAGGTCTACAAGATACACTTTAAGTGACATTTTCAGATTTATTTCTGTTTAAAATTATAACAAAGAAAGTAAGAGCTGCCAGATAATCCTAAATAAATAAGGATATTTTATATTAAAATGTTTTCTATGTATTTCTATTTTTTTGTCTAAGACATTAGTCAACAATCAGATTTAGACCTGACCTTCAACCTCTGTTCATCCTGTTTTTCTCTAACTCCAGGTGAAACCATACACTTGAGCAGCACTCCATAACCCCTTCTCCCAGTCAGCTCCTCTTCTTCGCTCCCCCGTTGCCATGACAACCACCCTGGAGACCATGCTGCTGCCTCCGGACCAAGAACTGAGCCCCGAGCGACTGGATGCCTGCGGCGACACCAGCGGACGCTACAAGGTGGTGCCGTCGGTAGTGTGCTCCATGTGCTGCCTCTTTGGTATCATCTACTGCTTCTTTGGTGAGCTGCTGAACTTCCTGAAAGTTTATGACTCTGATTGTTTTGCTGAGTCAGCGTTCACACTGCTATTTTGGTGTTTAGAGGGTCAGTGTGCGTTTTTTGGTATTTACTTTAATGTGTATACTTTGTGCTCTTTTAGCTGTTCTTGTATTCAAGTCCATCAAAAACAGTTTTTATTCAAACTGCTTTAACTTCCATTAATGCTACTTATGCTAATGCAAATATCACTGCTGTGACTTATGATTATACTAGACTAAGACTAATAATACTGCTAATGCTAATTAGCTAGTATTACTACTGCTAATACTAATTGCACTAAAGTTTATCCTATATGGCTGTAATTATAACTATAGAAATTGTATTTCCTGTGAAAATGCTAGTGTGAATGCCTTTGCTGAAAAGCTTTGCTGAAAGCTGCTGAAATTGAGCTGAAAATGTTTAATAGCAAAACAGTTAATATGAGTTAATTTTAAAAGTGGAAAGAGGTATAAAAATTTTTCACTTAGCAGAAAACAGTAGAAAGGAGCTGAAAAATAGCTGAAAAGGCAGAAAAAAGTAAAATTAGCATAAAACAAGCTAAAGGTAGCAGACACAAATTGAAAAACAGTAAACAGTAGCTAAAATGCAGGAAGCAGCTCAAATTAGCCGACAGAAGCAAAAAGAAGCACAAAAAAGCAGAAATCGGCTGAATAGCCAAAAGGAGCAGAATCATTCATTCATTCATTCATTCATTCATTCATTCATTCATTCATTCATTCATTCATTCATTCATTCATTCATTTCTATAGTGCTTGACACAACCACAGTGTTGGTGACCAAAGTGCTTCACAAAGTCAGTAATTAACATGACAACAAGTTAAAAGGCAAGAAAACACAAGAAAATAGCCAAAATAAAACCAGAAATGACACCACATATTTATGTACTAAAAGCCTGTCGGAATAAAAAAAGTCTTAAGCTTTGATTGAAAAGGGACAAGTTCAGTAAGCAAACGTAAATAATGATGGAGCTGATTACATAGTCGAGGCGCGGCCGCAGAAAAGGCACCCTCCAGTGGAGCTGATGTGGGGGTTTGGGGCGTCGGGTGGGTTCTCAGGGGCTGGGCCACTGGGGATTCCTGGGTGAGGTGGGGAAGCGACTCTCGTCCCGAGGAAGATCTTGGTGGTTCTGGGGGATGTCTTCTGGTGGCTGCATGCGGGCCCTCAGGTGGTCTGTAGCGGCGGTCATGGGTCGCCGACCCAGTGGCCTGGCTGTGCTGGGGTGGGTTTGGGGTGGGCGCGGGGGCTTAGGGTTCTGGGGTCTTGCTGCCCCTGGGCTGTGGTCCTGGTGGGACCAAAGGGGCTTGAGTCCTGGTGGGCGGGTTGCCATGCTCTAGGCCGGTTTGTGCCCTGGTGCCCAGCTCTGGACGTGGGGCCTTCAGTGCACTGGTGGGCTGCAGGTCTCATGAGCTGGGGGATTGGGTTGGCTGGAGGCGGGGCCGGTGGCCCGTGGGAGGGGATAGGCCAACCCAGCCTGGGTGTCTAGTGTGCTATATGTTCTGAGAGTTGTCTGAATGTTGACGTGAGTGTAGCATTTCTTCTGGGGTGGGGGCAGTGTAGATGGCCTTTGGTGGCGGCCGGGGGGCTGTGCTGGGTCGGCTGGTTGGCCCCATTTTTGTGGCGGAGGTTCGCTCTTGGTGCCTCCTGGCGCTGTCAGCAGCTGGGTGTGCACTCTCGGCTGAAACTTCCTTGCTGGGGTTCGGTAGCTTCTTTGGGCTGCGAGCGTGCTATGGGGCTGGGGGTTGGGTTTTGGGGGTCTGGACAGCTCTGGGGCAGGTGGACTGTTGGTCTCGGTTTCTGGCGGTCCTCTGGGCTCTGTCTGTCCATGGTCTGGGGCTCTCCGGGCCTGGTGGTCTGTCCAGAGGAAGAGGTATTGGGGCCTCACTCTCTGGGTGAGTCTCGGGAAACGGGGGAACTTACTGGGGTCAGTGGGGGAGCTGACYCCATGTGGGAGCATTTTGCTCCCTCAGTCCTTTTTCTCCACATCCCTTACCACATACCTCCACCCTCTTCATTTTCAACTCCACTCATGTAGGGTTTTTGGGGTGCAGGTGTTTTATAAAGAGCAACAATTTTACATCTCTGTTTGCTATATATACCTGAGCCCCAATTTTACTGTACACCCTAGACATTCACTTATAACATCCTCATAACATTCACATATAGGAACTTGGGGGTGGGCACTCTTATGGCATGCAAGGGGTGGGGTGGAATACTCTCGCCACTGATGCCTGTGCCCACTCCCAATGTTTGCTTGCAGACATTTGTGGTTTTGGGTTAGAGTGGGATGGAGGGGAAACTGGCACCATGTCAGCCTCTGCTCCATCTTCTTCCCCATTTTAATTGCATTATAGAACAACACACATCAACAACACATCCGAGGGTGGAGGTGTGTGTGTCTGGGTCTTTTTCACACCCCCCTTCCCCGTTGACCATTTGGGGATGGGGTCCAGAGGAGGGGCAGGCAGTTTGGTGCGGCCTGGGCTGCGGGTGAACTCGGGGCTTGGAGGGGTGCTGGGGACAGGGCTGGCACTCCGGCTTCCCTAGGGTTGTTCGCATTCCTAGAGTATGGCTCCTGGTTGCCGTTGTTGGTCCGCTGGCTGGGGTGGCTGCTGGAGTCCAGCTCGTGGTCGGTTGGGGGTGTACTCTTGGCCGTTGTGTGGGGGTGGTTGGGAGCATGGTTTTGCTGGGGTGGGGGGCTGGCCAGTCGGCCTGGTGTGGCCTGGGCCGAGACTTGGCTGTCTGGCCCTCTCCAACCCAGAATGAAATGGTCTATTTCCTGGGTTCGGATGTGAGCTGCTCTCTGTAGGGGGCGGGCGCATGTCCTGGACCTGGTAAATGGTAAATGGTAAATGGTACTGAACTTATAGAGCGCTTTTCAAGTCCCTCCGGACCCCCAAAGCGCTTTACACTAACAGACATTCACCCATTCACACTCACATTCACACACTGATGATGGCAAACTACACTGTAGCCACAGTTGCCCTGGGACACACTGACAGAGGTGGGGCTGCCATGCATCGGCGCCACCGGACCCTCTGACCACCATCAGTAGGCAAGGTGGGTGAAGTGTCTTGCCTAAGGACACAACGACTGAGACGGCTGGACGGGGGATCGAACCAGTGACCTTCTGGTTCCAGGACGACTCCCCTAACCACTCCGCCACAGCCGCCCCAACCCCGACCTGGGAGGTATAGAGTATGAATGGGGAGTGTGAGTGGAATTTGGCGTCCATCTGTGTTTGTTTATGCTTAGATTTTTGTCAGGCTGGGACTTGGGCGACCCTTTCTTCGGGTTCATTTGAGGGCCCACTGATTCTCCTGCCGCTCTGCCCTCTGGTGGGGTGTGACTTTGCCCGCCGGCTCGCTGGTGGCTTTTGATGTCTGTGGGTGAGTGCTTGGGCATGTGCCGGCTCGGCCCGGTGGGGCTTGGGTCCTCTGGCCCTGTCTGGACTTGGCCTGGTGGTGGTGTTGGTGTGGGGGCGGTGCGCCCTGGGGGCCCAGACCTCTGTGTCCATGCCAGGATCTGCTCTGGCACGGCGGGTGCCAGCGGGGCCTGTGTGCTCGTTGCTGCTGGCCCCAGGGGTTTACTGCATGTGGTCACTGGTGGGGCTCTCCCTACTTTCTCCTATAGTCCCCTTTGGG